TTTGTCAATGAAGACAGCATCACAACGAAACAGACAATCCCACGATGGTTTTTGGGACGTCACAACGGCCATTTGAAACAGTGGAATACCTTCCTCCTTTAACAAAAATTACTTTCATGTTCGTGTAAACAATTCTAACTGACCACTATGAAACCCTCTGGATGAAAAATAACCTTTAACCAAACGTTTCTGTTGGCATCCATCTTTTTTTTTCAAACCAGTCGGAGAAGGCAGAGCGGTTACAACGCCGGAATTCGCGGAGGTCGCGGGTTCAAGTCCCGCTCTTCATTTCACTCCTTAGTTGGAGTTGCTTCTTGGTAGGCCCTAGTTCAACTTCTTGGTCATGCTTGTAAATAGCCAACTGGTCTGCCACCAGTTGGGATTTTTTAGCCTATTATATTTAGTTGATACATTTGTTTCTTTCAGTTTAAGTGGCATACCTTTGAACTAGCTTGGTGTAGCCAAGCGCATTGACCGCTATAGACAACAACATTTGGACATTTTTTGAAGGTCTAGGAAAATAATAGACTATGGCAAATTTGATCTAGTCGTTTTGTTTTGTACCGAACCGCAGGAAAAAATAATTTAAAAATTCATTATTCTTGAAAGCAGAGAGCAAGGAAATCAGTGACAAATCTTAAGATAGTGTGTTCCAATTAAAAAAAAAAATGTTGGTCCGTGTGAGGGTCGAACTCACGACCTTGGCGTTATCAGCACCACGCTCTGCCGACTGAGCTAACGGACCAGACACATTAACCTCGCTGCGGTCTTTTATTAATTATAACTGCCTTCGTACATTTTTTTAAATTAACTATATCTACGTTATTTTTACAATACTTACATATAATACTTACAATATAATGAAGTTAAAAATAAAGCCCTCGTACATGTAAGTTACAATACATGTAAGTTACCATAAGTTGGGTCTGGTGAACTACAACACCCGCTTAGTGGTGTCAGTCACTGCTCTGTTCAAACTGAGTGATATTATTTTTTAAGAAGTATGTACATGCTTTTAACGTGGTTTCTCAAGGATGAGAAAAGTTTTGTTAAAATAATTATCTGGCAATTAGAAGTTGTTTCCCGTTTAGTTATTTTCTAATCATGTCTCGTCAATATCAGTACTGCTATATGTTCTAAATAACAAGGAACTACAATGAAAAGCAATATGTTTTCTTTAATTATATTTGTTTTTCAAAAATGAAGTTCTAAGTACATTCGTCAAAGAAATGCTTAAAACTAATTACCAGGTCATGCCTCTAACATTGATTTTTCACTAAGTTAGTGACTTGTTTATTGAATCAACTGAGTACTCTTTGGGGAATTAGCTCAAATGGTAGAGCGCCCGCTTTGCATGCGGAAGGTACCGGGATCGATGCCCGGATTCTCCAATTGTTTTTTATTTATTTGTCACAATTTTAATACTTGTAGATATTATTTTATTCGCACTGATTAATAGTAAAAATTAGTCAGATTTTTCTTTCCTGTTACCAAGATTAAATTT